CACACACACACACACACACACACACACATACACACTCACACACATAGACACATATACATATACACACATACACAAATTTTATTTACTGGGCGTTTAACTATTAAGCCCCCCACCCCCTCCTTCCCTCTATTTCTGACTAATCTGAATGAAGTAAAATTATTAAGCACAATAAGACATAAAACAAAACAGCGACAGAAACAGCAGAATCCTAAAAGGATAAACAACTAAAAGAAGTGCTCATAATGGGAACGAAGACAAGCTCACAAAACTAATATTAGAATGACAAAAAAAACATCCTCATTTTACCCCACAGTACAAATAACGAAACACAAAATAAAGTTAATGTGCGTTGGTTAGAGGACACAACAGGTGGGTGCTACCTCATTTCTCTTCTTCTGTTATTTCTTTCTGTTCATGTCGCTTTTTCTCCGTACAAGACAGTCATTATCGTGTCGATGTGCTTCTCTTTTCTCAAACGAAACAAAATTTAACCTAGATGTTTACAAAGTAAGACAAACTAAGTAAGACATCGCTTTGAAATATGCACGAATGCATAACAGAACAAAAATAGTTACGATTCTCATTGAACTTAAACCCATGGGTGGTTTGCAGGTGCTCTGGTGGGATATGCTACTCAAACATTTATCGTCCTTATCGATCCTCTTTCTTTTGGTGTTTGTTACTCTCCAGTGTAACACCTCTTGCTTGTCTTTGGCACTTTTATGACTTAATTGTGTTTCCATTGCCGTAACATGCTCACTAAAAACGTAACCTTCTCTTCCAGTCCCAATACATCAGCTACGGATTTAACCACCGCCGACCTCATCATGGGCAGCATGACGCGTGACCTCCTGGTGCACTGCCCAGTGCCTGTACTGGTAGCCAGACCCCCAGAACAGCCGAAACCACGCGCCACCGGACCTATGTAGGTCACCGTCACCTGGCAGGCTGAGCTGCATCCTCCGTTGAAATTTCTCACTTCATCTCTCTCTCTCTCTCTCTCTCTCTCTCTCTCTCTCTCTT